CAAACAACATAAAATACCTTGGGGTAACGCTAACCAAACAAGTGAAAGATCTGTATCGTAAGAACTTTGAATCTTTAAAGAAAGAAATTAAAGAAGCCCTCAGAAAATGGAAAGATCTCCCATGCTCTTGGATAGGTAGGATCAATGTAGTAAAAATGGCAATCCTGCCAAAAGCAATCTACAGATTCAATGCTATCCCCATTAAAATCCCAGCACAATTCTTCACAGACCTTGAAAGAAGAATAATCAATTTTGTATGGAAAAACAAAAGACCCAGGATAGCCAAAACAACCCTGTTCAACAAGGCAACGTCCGGAGGCATCACTATCCCTGACCTCAAGCTCTATTATAGAGCTATAGTCCTGAAAACAGCTTGGTATTGGCACAAAAATAGACAGGCAGACCAATGGAATCGAATTGAAAATCCGGGTATTAACCCACACACGTACGAACATCTGATCTTTGACAAAGAAGCTAAAAATATACAATGGAATAAAGAAAGCATCTTCAACAAATGGTGCTGGCATAATTGGAGACTGGCATGTAGAAAAATGCGGATCGATCCATGTTTATCGCCATGCACAAAACTTAAGTCCAAATGGATCAAAGACCTCAACATAAATCCAGCCACACTGAACCTCTTAGAAGAGAAAGTGGGTGGTACCCTTGAACGAATTGGTACAGGAGACAGCTTCCTGAACATAACACCAGTAGCACAGACAGTGAGATAAACAATTAATAAATGGGACCTACTGAAACTGAGAAGCTTCTGTAAGGCAAAGGACACAGTCAGCAAGACAAAAAGGCAGCCCACAGAATGGGAAAAAATATTCACTAATCCCACATCTGACAGAGGGTTGATCTCCAAAATTTACAAAGAACTCAAGAAGCAAGTCTCCAAAACAGCAAAGGACCCAATTAAGAAGTGGGCTGCAGAACTAAATAGAGAGTTTTCAATAGAGGAGTCTAAAATGGCTGAGAGGCACTTGAGAAAGTGCTCAACATCCTTAGCCATCCGGGAAATGCAAATCAAAGCAACTCTGAGATACCATCTCACTCCTGTCAGAATGGCTAAAATCAAAAACACCAATGACAATTTATGCTGGAGAGGATGTGGTGAAAGGGGGACACTCCTCCATTGCTGGTGGGAGTGCCAACTGGTTTAGCCACTTTGGAAAGCAGTATGGAGATTCCTCAGAAAAATGGGAATAAACCTACCACAAGACCCAGCAACTGCACTCTTAGGCATATATCCAAAAGATGCCCATTCATATAACAAAGATGTCTGTTCCACTATGTTCATAGCAGCTTTATTTGTAATAGCCAGAACTTGGAAGCAACCTAGATGTCCCTCACCCGAAGAATGGATAGAGAAAATGTGGTACATCTACACAATGGAGTACTATTCAGCAGAAAAAAATAATGGAATCATGAGATTCGCAGGCAAATGGATGACACTAGAAGAAACCATCCTGAGTGAGGTAACCCAGTCACAAAAAGAGAAACATGGCATGTACTCTCTCATATATGGATTTTAGACATAGATCTGGGGAGTACCAGCCTACAATCCTATTGCCAGAGAGTCTGGGAAACAGAAACTTCATTTACTGGCTGGTTAAGTACTGAGCTGAACTCAAGAAAGCCAGTATCAGAGAGGGAGGACTGATGATCAAAGGGATTAAGACTGGGCTGGTTGAACCCCCAGAAACAGCTGACCAGACACAGGTTAACTCTTGAATCCCAGGCATCAGCCTGGGAATCCAGCATGGGACTGATCAAGACCCCCTGAATCTGGGTGTCAGTGAGGAGGCCTAGGTAATCTATTGAGCCTTGGGCAGCAGATCAGTACCCATCCCAAGTATACACACGGTCTCTGGACTCCCATAGAACAATGTGAGGTGCACTCTCACCCTGAACTCTTGGGGAAGGGTCTAGGCCCTGCCCTATATGAAATGACAGACTATGGACACCCCCATGGAGGGCCTCACCCTCCCTGGGGGAATGAGGGGATAACAGGGGGGGGATGGGGGGAGGGCAAGGGAGGAGGGGAGGGAAAGGGAGAGGGACCTCGTACTGACTTGTGAAGCAACCTTGTTTCTTATCTAAATTTAAAATGGAAAATAAAAAAATATCAATAAAAAAAAACAAAACAAAAAACAAAAAAATATGTTCTATATGTGGTCTCACTGGAGGAAATTTATCACTGAGGATGAATTTTGGCATTTGAAAAGGTCGAGTATACCCCTATGTAACTCTTTTCCTGCTACCTGAGTATCTGGATATAGAACCATCAGTTACTTCTCCAGAAGCATGTCTGTCTCTGTGCTGCCACATTATGATAATAGACTTAACTTCTGAAACTGTAATCAAGGCCCAATTATATGCCTTATTTTATAAGTATTGGCATGGTCATGGTGTCTCATAACAGCACTATAAAACACATTAAGACAAAAAAGGGAGTGGAATATTGCTGAGACAGGACTAGCAAATGATGCTAGTTGCCAGAATATGTGTTGTTGACCTGTGGATTAGGAAAGCAGTTGAATGCTTAAGTGAGGCTTAGTGGGCTATACTAGCAGGATGATGGAAGACAGTCCTAAGGGATATTTCAACTGTTAAGTCCTAGCTCAAATTGTTTCAGAGTGGAAGAAAATTAGTAAATGGCCTATAGACTGGTCCTTATATACTTTTCACAAAGATTTGGTAGAATTTTGCCCTGATTAAAAAAAATCTGCTGAAGCTAAATTGAAGATTTTTGGATAACAGACATTGAGGAAATTTTAAGATAGCCTTCTGTTGCTGGCCAGTGGTGGCACACACCTACAATCCCAGTACTTGGGAGGCCAATGCAGGTGGGTTTTCCATTAGTTCAAGTCCATCCCAGTCTACAAATCAAATTCCAGAAACAGCAGAGCTGTTACACACAGAAACCCTGTCTCAAAAATCAAAAAAGAAGATAGCCTAGTGTTGACTTTTTCCTATGGCTGTTCATAGTCACTCTTATACAAATCTATAATGAAAAGGAGCTATGGGTGCATGGAAATATGTAAAAAGTACAGGTTGAGAAAAGAAGGTGCACAAGAAATTGTAATGGAAATAATTCCAGGGCTCAAGAAGATAAAACGTGTAAAGAAAAGCATAATGCTAAAGAGAGTAAAAGGAGTGAAACCTCAGGGCAAGAACTATGGAGCTAAGCTTCCATCTTATGAAAAGGAAGTAAGCTTCAGCATTTAAGGAAACCATACAAAAATAAAAATCTGGTGAAAATGTATTTAAAAAGAGGGCCAAGTTCCAGCACCAAAAAGCAGATTGTGGAAGCTGTGGCCACAAACTTCTGGCTTTGAGTAAACTATTGCAGAAAGGAATTGTGGAATCTCCCTCCTTGGCTAAATAAAGCCACCAGGCCATGTGTTTCTTATTGGTCTTCTTGCATGCAGGCCAACAGAGTGATGCTGTGTGGGTTTCAGAGTGCATCATAGCTGAAAGAAATCTATGAAAATAACTTAAGGTTTTACTAAGATGTTTAGTCAAATACCTTTGAGGTGAAAAACCCAAAACATATTCTAAAGTTTACAAAGTCACATAGTTAAATCAAGGACTTGTTATAGATAGGGAGCAAAACCAAAGCAGACCAATTATTATTAGCTGATGTGCCTTTGTTGCTAGGATGTGTTGGTGACCAATGGCGAAGATTTCCTTTTTCCCATTTCTACCCTCAATTCTTGATGTAAGAACTACTAATGAGTGGGCATGCATCATCAGGGTTTATTAGAGCTGACTGATTCCTTTCATATTAAAAGTTTAAATTGCGATTCTTCTAAGATTTCCTATAAGATTACCTTTTCAGATAAATATTAAAATGATTTGTCCTTTCTTTATAACCACAAAGACCAGCCTACCAGCAAAAGAACTGGCTGAGAAAAATACCTTGCTTCCTCACACTCCGTGAATCTATAACAAGTTGCTTGGACAGGAATGCATGTGAGTAGTTGGGACCATTTGTTTTCCCCCTATAATATGTAAAATGTTTAATCATGTAAAGGATGTGGAAAAGCTGCTGGTTTTTACTTGTATTCATGATAATCAATCACTTGAAAAATAGAATGTAGACCCATTTTAATTCTTAAATTGCTTAAAAGATTTTCCTGGGGGCAAATAAGCTGTAAGGGAAACATCAGGAAAAATGAAGAGGAAAAAGTAAGAATACAGAAGAAGAGTAAATAAAAATCCAAATGGAAACAATCAAGAGAGTATGTGTGTGTGTTCCCTTAACACCTCAGATAAAAAAAGTCTTAGTTCACTGACTTCTTGGATTCCCATCCAGCCCTACCCTAATGGAGGCTGGTCCTTAAAGCAGTAGTTATCGCAGTAGACTCCTTTTTTCCCACCTACACATTTCGTGCTAGCTGGCATGCAAGATATACTCAGAATACTACCCTTATCTCTAGTTAGGATGTGATTGCTGAACAAAACCATATTTTTGTGTGCATTTTTGGGATCTGCAGTCTTGTCCTAATCCTTTTACACTAAGTGATTCATTCTATAATCTATTCACAAAAGTCTTAAGCATATTTCATTAACAAATCTGTAGCCTAAAAGTCTCACCTTTGTGAGGGACCAAACTAGGTGTCAGGCAGAAAAGATTGTGGGCTGATAAAGTAATAAATTAAATTATAAAAAAGAAAGGGGGGTTAAAGAAAACCAGAAATACACATAGCAATACTTTGTTTTTTCTTGTGGAATAACATACAAAACGATTTTGGGTTTCATTAAACACTCTTTGAAAAATATAAAATCTGTAACTATCATTGTATTAGCAAGATGTCTGGTTTAAGGAAAACAGTGTGTGTTCATTCAAACTTTCACAATATGCTTGATATCAGGAAAATCATTAAATTAAAAACAAAACTTTTTGTCTTCAGTTTACTTTCGGGCACTTTGTAGTTTTCAAAAGAGAAACTATTCAGCTTCAGCAATTTCTTATGTACACAAACACATACCTGTCTCATTGGAAATCTCATTCTCAGGGCACTGGGCACAATCAAAGCAGCAGTCTGGTGTTTGTTCCTGATGAAATTTCCTGAACCCTGGAGTGCACATCATACTGCATGTAGACGTGGGAACCTGAAGCAAATGGCATATGATTTGTAACAGACATGGATTACCCATGCATTACCTATCAAAATCAGGCCTCTGAGAATTTTATGTGAGCCTGAAATGAAAATTAATACAATATTTAGTACATTGTATAAAATTCTGTTTATAAAGTTTTGGTTGTAGAGATTAGAGATTGCTTCTGCCTGAAATGAAATGATTCACCAAGAAAATTTAGGAGGGAGTCACCATGTAGCCGCCATAGGAGTAAGAGGTCCAGACCCTTTCTCCGAATTTCCCTGCAGAGACACTGACAGGGGAAGCTGGAGTAACTGGCAGACTGTCTATAAACACGGAAGGCAAGCAGGAAGAGCTACATTAGTTGAATGCCTAACGCTGCCAGGCTACACCACTCTCTTGTGAGGGAAGGTCCTGTCTATGGGATCCGAACTCCTGGAGTGTTCCACGACCGCCCCCAAGGTCTGCTCGCGCACTGGGAACTGCTGTGTGGAAGAGTCAAGATTAAGAAGTCCTCGGCTAGCATTTCCGCCTGTTCAGTCCACGGAGGAGCAGCGTCTCCCCAGCTCTCCAGATGCTGCTCACAGTAGTCTGCGGACACACGCCCGCAAAGGCCTTGCAGCCTTGGATGCCACCCGGAGAAGCTGTGAGGCGCAAATCATCAGATTTCTGTTTTGTGCTCGCTGGCACAACCGCTCTAAATCCTTCGAGACAAAATGATCCCTGCACCGTACAGTTGAAGACTTGGAGCCTTCCCAGAATAATGGTGGCTGACCAGGCTCCCACCATTTTCTGAGTTACATATTTTCTTAATAGAATACAAGAAAACACAATGATACAGTGCCAACCTGCTTACATATATCACCAGGCCACATGTTACCTAGAAAAAAGAAAGATGTCTATTTAATCTTTAGAAGAACTAATTAATGCCTGTGTATGAAAGTAATTCTTAAGTCAACAAATGTTATTGTGATTTGTTTGTTTGTGTTTGTTTTTGTTTGTTTGTTTTTCAAGACAGGGCTTCTCTGTGAAGCTTTAGAGGCTGGCCTGGAACTCACAGAGATCCGCCTGCCTCTGCCTTCAGGGCGCTGGTCTTAAAGGCATGCGCCACCAACGCCCTGTTTTTGTTTTAGAAAGGGTCTTTTGATATGGACCAGCCTGGACTTGAACTTGAAGAGACGCGCCTGCCTCTGCTTTCCTGGAATGTTGGGATTAAAGCTGTGTGCCACTATACAAATATACATGCCTACCTCGCCCCTTCAAAAAAAAAAGAAAAAGAAAATTTAGGAGGTATGCAAAGTTCTCACATGGTTTAAACATCAAAATCAAGGATAATGTGGGGGTGGGAGGAAAGCAGTTATGGGATGAATGTGAACAAACCATGTAGTAGGAGACTCTCACAAGCATATTTTTTCAAGATAAAATGAAAGTTTAGAATACAGAAAAATATTTCTGGAAACAAATGTATGTTACTCTTGTTGAGGCTATAAAATGTTGACACAGAATCACCAAATGTCATGGTTTATATGTTATTACAAAAAGTTAATAGTCTAAATATTTTTATTTTATATATGTATTTCCCTGGTGTGGGTGAATTGGAATGTAACTTTAGTTGTCCACGGAAGTCAGACTCATTGAATACCCATGACCTGAATGTGTAGGAATTTGTAAGCCCTCTAACACAAGTGCTCTGTGAACTGAGTTTGGGTCCTTCCCAAGATCAGTGATTGTTGTTAATCACTAAGCCAGCACCTTGATGCCACAATTCTATTTATAACACAGATGTACAGAAAAGAATGAAAATTATGGCATACACACCTGCATTGTTCCCATGGCCAACTCTAAGTCTTCAGAAATATGCAGCTGTTGGCTCTGTGGGAAATAGGAGGAATAACCTCCTATTTTCACTTTTAATCCAAAACCTTGAGGGAAATTCCAAGTGCTGTAAATGTCATAATCTCCACACAGCTTTTTTCTCTGGTTCATGTCTACCAGCTCCCCAACAGGGTTCATAAATACCCTGCTCTTCAGTATAGAAACCATCTAAGTGAGATGAATCATTAAATGATTACATATGCACACCCAGTAAGGCAAACTGACAATGTGAATGGCCCCCAATTTTTAATTTCTTCAAGAAAAGGAAACTCTATGCAGGATTTGATATCTAGTAAATACAAGCTACCTCATGGGTAACAAAACTTTATTATACTCCATATATATTTTTATGGTGGACAGAATCAGACGAAATGCCTACAAAAACATTGAGTATCACAATGAAAATGATCTAAGTATTTATTACTTGCATGAAAACTCCCAATATGGATGCTTTTACATAAGCAGTTTTGGAGGCCTCTCTCTCTCTCTCTCTCTTTCTCTATGTGTGTCTGTGTGTGCGTGTGTGTGTGTGTGTGTGTGTGTGTGTAGTGAAAATCATTTTAGAAAAAAAGAAAAGTCATAAACTTGAGAAGTATTAAAATGACTGAAAGTCGTTGAAAGGAAGAAAAGTGTGTATCATGTAAATGCAGTCTACATATATGAAATTAATAAAAACATGAATCCTTTAACTCTTTGCAGAAGTAATTGATACATGAAATAAGAAAATTTGACATTGATCAACATTTATTGTTTCTATTTTTATTTAAATTAGAAACATGATTGTTTTGCATGTCAATCCCAGTTCCCTCTCCCTCCCCTCCTCCCCTGCTGCCCACTAACTCCCTATCGCATTCCCTTTCTGCTCCCCAAGGAGTGTGTGGCCTTCCATGGGGGATCTTCAAAGTCTGTGATACCCTTTGGAGCAGGGCCTAGGCCCTCCCCAGTACACCTAGGCTGAGAGTATCCCTCTATGTGGAATGGGCTCCCAAAGTTCATTCATATGCTAGGGATAAATACTGCTCTACTACCTGCCAGGGACCCCATAGATTTCTGAGGCCTCCACAATGACACCTACATTAAGGGGGTCTGGATAAGTTTTATGCTGTTTTCCCAGCTATCTGTCCAGGAATACATGAGATCCCCCTTGTTCGGGTAAGCTGCTTCTGTGGGTTTAACCAGAATGTGCTTGACAGCCCCCACACACACTGCTCATCACTCCTCCCTCTCTGCAAATGGATTCCAGTTCAGTTCAGTGTTTAGCTGCGGGTGTCTGCCTCTGCTTCCATCAGACACAGGATGAAGGCTTTAGGATGGCATATAAGGTACTCATCAATGTCATTATCAGAAAGGGGTGTATAAGGTAGTCTCTCCACTATTTTTTAGATTGTTAGGTGGTGTCATCCTTGTAGAATTCTAGACATTTCCCTAGTGCTGGACCAGTCTTGAAGCCTATAATGGCCCCCTCTATTATGGTATCAATTATCTTGATCTCTTCTCTTCTTCCCCCAACTCAACCTTCCTTCTCCATCATGTCCTACTCTCCCCTACTCTTATCCCCCTCTCCACTCCCCCCATGCTCCCAATTTCCTCAGGAGATCTTGTCCCCCTCCCCTTCTTCAGGGGACTGTGTATGTCCCTCTTAGAGTCCTTCTTGCTTCCTAGTTTCTCTGGCCTTGTGGATTTAGGCTGGTAATCCTTTGTTCTAAGGATTTTATGTCTAAAATCCGTACATGAGTGAGTAAATACAATGTTTGACATTTTTGGACTGGGTTAAATCACTCAGGATGGTTTCTTCTGGTTCCATCCACTTGCCTGCAAATTTCAAGATTTCAATGTTTTGTTTTGTTTTTTTTACTGCTGAGTAGAACCCCTTTGTTTAAATGTACCACATTTTCTCTATCCATTCTTCAGTTGAGGGACATTTAGGTTGCTTCCAAGTTCTGGCTATTGCAAATAATGCTGTTATGAACATAGCTGAACAGGTGTCCTTATTGTAAGAATGTGCATATTTTGGGTAGATGCCTAAGAGTTGAATTGCTGGATCTTGTGGCAGACTGATTCCCATTTTTCTGAGGAAACTTCATACTGATTTCCAAACTGACTGTACAAGTTGTCACTCCTACCAGCAGTAGAGAAGTGTTCACTTTCCCCCACATACTCTCCAGCATAAAAATGTCATTGGTGTTTTTTATTTTAGCAATTCTGACACTTTCTCATATTAGTTTTGATTTGCATTTCTCTGATGGCTAAGAATGTTGAACAATCTTTGGGGCCGCCCGGCATCCAGAAGACCCGCCCACACAGGAAAGACATCAGCCCCTCCAAGACCCCAACCCCAGTGAGTCCAGCTTCAGGAAAGACATCAGCCCCTCCAAGACCCCAACCCCAGCCAGTCCAGCTTCAGGAAACACATCAGCCCTTCCAAGACCCCAACCCCAGTGAGTCCAGCTTCAGGAAAGACATCAGCCCTTCCAAGACCCCACCCCAGTGAGTACAGCTTCAGGAGACCTGCCCACACAGCAAAGAAGTCAACAATTCCAAGACCCCAACCTCAGTGAGACCAGCTTCAGGAAAGACATGAGCCCTACCAGGACCCAAACTCCGTGTCAGCATCCCCAGCTTCAGCTGCAGGAAGGAAGGAGACCAGTGGAGATGGAAAGACCCCACCAGCACCCACTGAAAGAAGAGATGGGAAGAAAACAGAATAAGAGATTATCAGCAATAGAAACACCAACATGACCCCACCAGAATCCAGGGATCCAACACCAGCAAGACCCGAAAAGCACTACATAGACGAAGTAGAGGAGACAGACCTTAAAAATTAGTTCATGAAGATGGAGACCCTCAAAGAAGAAACAAGGAAATCCCTTAAAGAAATAGAAGAAAAAACAAACAAAAAAATCCATGAAATGGGGGAAAAAATTCAAGAAATAAACAAATCTCTCAAAGAATCTAAAGAGCACCAAGAAAGAACAACCAAAAAAATGAAGGAAACAACTCAAACAGTTGAAGGATTGAAAGCTGAAATAGAAACGATAAAGAAAACACAGAATGAAGGGATGCTGGAAATAGAAAAGCTCGGTAAATGGTCTGGAACTACAGATGCAAGTATCACCAATAGAATACAAGAGATAGAAGAGAGAATCTCAGGTGTTGAAGACTCATTAGAGGATATAGAGTCGTCAACCAAAGAAAATCTCAAAACCAACAAATCCTTAACACAAAATATCCAGGAAATATGGGACACCGTGAAGAAGCCAAACCTGAGAATAATAGGTATAGAAGAAGGTGAAGAACTTCAACTTAAAGGTACAGAAAACATATTCAACAAAATCATAGAAGAAAACTTCCCTAACCTAAAGAAAGATATGCCTATTAAAGTACAAGAATCTTACAGAACACCAAATAGGCTCGACCAGAAAAAGAAGTCACCTCGCCATATAATAATCAAAACATCAAACCTACAGAGTAAAGAGAAAATATTAAGAGCAGCTGAAGAAAAAGGCCAAGTAACATACAAAGGCAGACCTATCCGAATTACACCTGACTTCTCAATGGAAACGATGAAAGCCAGAAGATCATCGGCAGATGTCCTACAAATGCTAAGGGAACAAGGATGCCAGCCCAGACTACTATATCCAGCAAAGCTCTCAATTACCATAGATGGAGAAAACAAAATATTCCATGACAAAGCCAGATTTAAACAATATGTATCCATGAATCCAGCTCTACAGAAAATGCTAGAAGGAAAACCTAGAGCCAAGGAAGATAACTACATTCACAAAGCCACAGGCAATATATAATGACACTTTACAAAACACCAAAAGAAAAAGGGAGGAGAAACTACACAAAATAACTTCACTAACAATAAATCAAGCACAAGCAAGGAACACCAATCAATGGTCATTAATATCCCTCAATGTCAACGGCCTCAACTTGCCTATAAAAAGACACAGACTAGCAGAATGGATACGAAGACAGAACCCTTCCTTCTGCTGCATACAAGAAACACATCTCAACATCAAAGGCAGAAGTTATCTCAGAGTAAACGGTTGGGAAAAGATCTTCCAATCAAACGGTCCCAAGAAACATGTGGGTGTAGCAATCCTAATATCTAACAAATTAGACTTCAAATAAAATCGATCAAAAGAGATGAAGAAGGCCACTTCATATTCATCAAAGGAAAAATACATCAAGACGAAGTCTCAATTTTAAACATCTATGCCCCAAATACAAAGGCACCTACATTCGTGAAAGAAACATTACTAAAGGTCAAAATGCACATAAAATCTCACACACTAATAGTAGGAGACTTCAACACTCTGCTCTCACTGCTAGACAGGACCTCCAGACAGAAACTTAACAAAGAAACAAAAGAACTAATAGAAGTTATGACCCAACTGGGTTTAACAGACATCTATAGAACATTCAACCCAAATACAAAGGGATATACCTTCTTCTCGGCACCACATGGAACCTTCTCTAAAATTGACCACATAATAGGAAACATAGCAAATCTCCACAGATACAAAAAATTGGAATAACCCCCTGCATCTTATCAGACCACCATGCATTAACATTAGAATTCAACAGTAACACAAACCGCAGAAACCCTACAAACTCATGGAGATTGAACAATGCACAATTACACCATCCCTGGGTAAAGGAACAAATAAAAAAAGAAATTAAAGACTTCCTTGATTTCAATGAGAATGAAGACACAACATACACAAACTTATGGGACACTTTGAAAGCAGTGCTGAGAGGAAAGTTTATAGCACTAAGTGCCCACATGAAAAAACTGGAGAACAGTCATACTAGAGAATTAATAGCACAGCTGAATGTTCTAGAACAAAAAGAAGCAAACTCCCGCAGGAGGAGCAGACGCCAGGAAGTAATCAAATTGAGGGCTGAAATCAATCAAGTAGAAACCAGACAAACACTGAGAAGAATCAATGAAACAAAGAGTTGGTTCTTTCAGAAAATCAACAAAATAGACAAATCTCTGTCCAAACTAACCAAAAGACAGAGGGAGAACATGCTAATTAACAAAATCAGGGATGAAAAAGGGGACATAACAACAGACTCAGAGGAAATCCAGAGAATCATCAGGGCATACTTTGAAAATCTGTACTCCACAACATTTGAAAATGTAAAGGAAATGGACA